GTAAGGATGAGCGGGGCGACTGCAACTCTGCGCGTGGAAGTTTGTCTTCCGCCAGGCGGGTCCCTGGTGCCAAGAGGCTGGGCTGCCGCGCTCGTTTACACTTGTGGCTTTTCCTACTGGCTGTGAAAGCAATGCTGATTACACTCTGGGCTGTTTTGTATTTTGGGCTTCTTTTCCATGTCGCTTTATTTTATTTTATTTTACTTTTTGAGTTGGAGTCTCGCTCTGTCGCTCAGACGGGAGGGCAGGGGCCGCTGCCGGCCCCCGCAGCCCCGACCTGCCGGGCTCCGGCCATCCTTCGCCTCCGCCTGCCGAGGAGCCGGAATTACAGGCGCGCGCCACCACGCCCGGCTGATGTTTTGATTGATTGTAGAGACGAGGTCTCGCTGCCCAGGCGGGTCTCGAACTCAGGCAGTCCACTCACCTCAGCCTCCCAAAGGTGCGGCATTACAGGCTGAGCCACCGAGCCCGGCTCCATGTCGTTTTATTATAAGCATTTGTCACACGCTTGTCAGTATTCAGTTCGAATGCCCACCCCCATTGAAAGCCATCAGGTGGATCAGTTGGGGTCTTTGACGTGTTTTTGTATTTGTACATTTTGCTTCATACATGAAACTTTTTCTGTATTCCAGTTTGTGAGTAGGTACATGCTAGAATTGGAATGACTGAGTTAGTAGGTATAACATTTTTCAGGGCTCAGTACCTATTTTTAAATGTTTTGTGAAAGCAATTTAGAGTGCCATCTTTGATTTGTAAAGATAAGTTTTAATGTTATTTTAATATAAATGATAAGGTATATAATGTTGTAGCAATCCCTCAATACTTTGTGGAATTACTACAGGGATATCTTTGATATAAAATTACAGTAATTTAGGTAAAATAATTATCTTTAGAAAACAGTATTATACAGTTTAGTTGATCGATTGAGTCAGAGTCTCACTCTGTCGCTCAGGCCGGAGTGCAGTGGCACGCTCACAGCCACCACCGCCTCGACCCCTGGGCTTAGGTGATCCTTCTGCCTCAGCCTTCCAAGTACCCAGGACTGGCACACGCCACCACACCTGGCTCTTTTTTTTTTTTTTAATTGTAGAGATGAGAGGGTTTTTTGTTTTTTGGGGGGTTTTTTTTGCAGAAATTGAGGTCTTGCTATGTTGCCTGCCTGGTCTCGAACGCCTGGGCTCAGGCAGTCCTCTCACTTCAGCCTCCCAAAGTGCTGGGATTACAGGCATGAGCCACTGCACTCGGCCTACTGTTCAGTTTTTAAGTACCCAATATGATCCCTAGTTTACAAATCAAGCATTAAGGCTGTTTTGTCTTTGAGCTATATGAGAGGTGGGGACCATGTCTGATGGATCAAGATCCCATCACTTAAGTTACCTCTGAATGAAACCTGAAAGTTGAGCTAGCAGAGATAGTGTTCACAAGTGCAAGGCTCCATGACTTTTCTTCTAACTACACTATGTAATGGGAAAGAAATACTAGGTATATCCCTACTGCGTTTACTTTTCTCAAAAGGCTAAACTCTTTTAAGATTTCGACTGTGATTTTTCACGGCAGTTTTGGTTCACCTGTTCACCTGTAGAGTGAGTTTTCTTGGTCTCTGCTTATCATTTGATTATATAGGTGTGAGATCCGTTGGCCTGCAGCACGTGGCTGGGGACTTGAGAACTTCTGAACTCGTTCCTCTTTCTGCCAGTGAACAATCGACCAGATATGGGTTGTAATTACAGTTAAAGGTTCACTGAGCTAATTGTCACTGCCAGGTTCCTGTAACCTCTGATAGCTTTCTTGAAAAACTGTTTTCATAGTTTCAAAATGCAGTCCTCCACCTTAGATCTTTTACTCTTGCTTGAACAGAATGACAGAAGACCCAGAGTCTCGTTAGGTTGTGCAACTCTGCGAAGGACGTTTCTTTTGAAAACAAAGTAAAAAAGAAAAAAAAATCTAATCTGACATTTGGTTCTGGCTCTGTCTCTGTGTCTTCCTGGATATTTCACTTAATCTCTGAGTTTTAGTGTTTTAAGCCCTTTTTTTTTTTTTTTGAGGCAAGGTCTCGCTCAGTCACCCAGGCTGGAGTACAGTAGCACTGTCTGAGCTCACTGCAGCCTCGAACTCCTGGACTCAAGCTATCGTCCCACCTCAGGTTCCTGAGTAGCTGAGACCGCAGGCTAATTTTTGTTATTTTTTGTGAAATGGGATTTCACTGTGTTGCCTAGGCTGGTCTTTAACTCCTAGCCTCAGGCGATCCTCCCAGCCTTAGTTTTCTTATCTTTACAATGGGTAAGGTTTACAAGTCCCAAGGCACCTCCCAGAATGAACCTGAGTCACTTCTCCCGCAGGCTGAACTCTTAGTGTTGTGCTTGCTATAAAATCAAGGAGACTAAGGGAAATAGCAACCAGAATGCGATTCCTTCCTTCTTTCTTTTTTTTTTTCTCTTTTTGAGTTGAGGGTCTCACTCTGTTGCCCAAGCTGGAGTACAGTGGCACAATCATGACTCACTGCAGCCTCAACTTCCTGGGCTCAGGTAATCCTTCCTCCTCAGCCTCTCAAGTGGCTGGGACTCCAGGCACACGTCACCATGCTCGGCTAGCTTTTGATGTTTTGCCGAGATGAGGGCTTGCCTAGCCTGGTCTCGAACTCCTGGGCTCAGGCAGTCCTTCGCCTGGGCTCCCGGAGTGCTGGGATTGCAGGTGTGAGCCACCGTGCCCAGCCTTGTAGTGTCAGTTTTTGTTTTTGAGTCGGAGTCTCACTCTGTTGCCCAGGCTGGATTGCAGTGGCGCGATCACAGCTTGACCTCCTGGGCTCAGACGATCCTTCCACCTCAGCCTTCCAAGTAGCTGGACCCACAGGCGAGCACCACCACACCCGGCTAATTTTTTGATTTATTGTAGAGATGAGGTCTTGTCAAATTGCCCAGGCTGTTTTTGAACCCCTGGACTCAGTCAGTTCTCTCGCCTCCACCTTCCAGAGTGCTGGGATTGCAGGCATGAGCCACTGTGCCTGGCTTGTAATGTCAATTTAGTAGCAGTAGTTTTATTTTTATCAGAAGATTTATCGGTTCCCAGTTTGGTTTGTGGCCTCATTTGTTTAGCCATCGTGTCAAAGCTGTAGGTCGATAGAGGACATACCGTTTCAGTTGTAATGCAGCACCTTTCGTAAATGTGCCCCCCCAGTACCTTCCTGAGAGAGCTGTGTGTGAAGCTCTGAAGACCTACGGGTCGTCCTGCAGTTTTCGTTTGACCAGCCCATCAGCAAATGTGTTTCTAAAGGTCTTGAAAACTAAGAGCTGCTTACACAGACTTCGTGTCTCTCTCATCAGTTAGGGGCCTACGTTTCCTGGGTTTGGAGAGCTTCTTGTACCCTTCACGAATGAGCCAAAGGCAGCACAGCCAAACACAGGAAAGACCACTGATGGGCCAGCAGGAATGCATGCTAAGTTATGTTCATTACTTTTTATTTTACTTATTTATTTTTGCATTGGAGTCTCACTCTGTTGCCCAGGCTGGAGGGCAGTGGCATGCTCACAGCTACCGCCGCCTCCACTTGCTGGGCTCAGGGGATCTTCCGCCTCAGCCTTTCAAGTAGCTGGAACTACAGGCGTGTGTCATTACAGCCAGCTGATTTTCTGATTGATTGCAGAGACTAGGTCTCGCCACGTTGCGCAGACTGGTCTCGAACTCCTGGGCTCAGGCAGTCCTCTCGCATCCGCCTCCCCAAGTGCTGGGGTTACAGGTGTGAGCCGCCATGCCCGGCTATATTTTTTAAATTTTAGATTCAGGGAGTACACATGCATATTCGTTCCATGGACATACGGTGTCGCAGTGGGGGTTGGGTACCAGGTGGCCCGTTCCCCAGATGATGGACGTTGTGCCCCACATGTAGCTTGTGAACCCCGACTCCCTCCGCCTGTTATTGGTTTTGATGCTCAGAAATGTTTCAGGTTGGCTCCTGGCCCTTTGGACATGACAGTTTCGTTCTTCGGGTGATTTGGATTTGAACCTGGGCTTGTTTGATTTTGGTGCCCATGTTCTTCCAGTGATTATTTCTGTGCCTTCTTGAAGGAAGCGCTGCTGAAGTGTGGATTGGTTGGGGTGGGGGTTTGATCTGGGTGTTGACTCCTCGTGGGAGCAGACGTCTAGCAGCAGGAAGGCAGAAGACACTTGTAACACGAGGTCCTGGGCTGTGGAGGGGCCCTGCCGTCTGGACGGAGACCCTCACTCCTTAGTGCCTGGTGTGGGGTCGTGAGATTGCTGGAAGCCATTCTTGTTGGGAGAGGACCCTCTTGGTTGCCATTTTCAGTGGTGTTTGCAGAGGAAGTGTTCAGCCTAGGAAGCTAGTCCTTTCTGAGTAAAGTCTGGAGAAAATCGCCTGCTGGGTGGGGTGAACGGCATCTCAGGACCCTGCAGCCCCCAACCCTGCAGTTTCTTCAGATGCCGTACACATGCCTTGAATTTGAATCAGTGTAGTATTTATATTGTGTCTGTAATTTGTGAAGTCATGACCGAAAATACGTGTAAATAATAATAATAATAATAATAAATTTTTTTTTTTTTTTGAGTTGGGGTCTCACTCTGTTGCTCAGGTGTTCCCGGCCACCGCAGCCTCGACCTGCTGGGTTCCGGCGATCCTTCCGCCTCAGCCTTCCAAGTAGCCGGAATTACAGGCATGCGCTACCACGCCCAGCTGATTTTGTGATTTTATTGTTGAGATGAGGTCTCGCTGCCCAGGCGGGTCTCGAACCCGCAGGCTCAGGCAATCCACTCACCTCAGCCTCCCAAAGGCGCGGGATGACAGGCTGAGCCACCAAGCCCGGCTTGTGTATACTATTTTGTCTGGTGACTTACCCTGGCTTTTCAGAGCACTACGTTATTTAATTGGCTCCTGTCACCTGACTGGCCATGTTGCAATCTGAGGACTAAATAGGGATGGGTGGTCTTAGCGTATTTTGTGTGACTCGTGGCTGATGGCTGTTGTGCTGTGTTTTGCTTCCCAATCCCAGGGCCCCATGGTTCTGAATGTGCTTCAGTGTCACAATGCCTCCTGCTATGGCAGACGTCCTTGACATCTGGGCAGTGGACTCTCAGATCGCGTGCGATGGCTCCATACCCGTGGACTTCCTTTTGCCCACTGGGATTTATATCCAGCTGGAGGTGCCTCGGGAGGCCACCATTGCTTACATTAAACAGGTATGGCGAGAGGTACGATGTCTGTACGTTAGCTCTCTGTGTCACTGAAGGGGAAGTGTCATTCTGCTTTCTGCTGTTTTGGGCTGGAGGGCAGTGCACACTCATGGCCACCGCAGCCTCCACCGACTGGGCTCAAGCAATCCTTCCCCTTGGCCTTCCAAGAAGCTGGAACCACAGACACGTGTTACCATGCCTGGCTATTTATTTATTTATTTACTCGCCTTTCTTTCTCTTATTTCTTTCTTTTGCTTAGTTGGGGTCTTCCTTTGTTGCCCAGGCTGGAGTACAGTGGTATGATCACAGCTTTGCCACAGCCTCAACCTCCTGGGCTCAGGCGATCCTTCTGCCTCACGCTCCCAAGTAGCTGGAGCCACAGGCGAATGCCACCATACCCGGCTAAGTTTTTGATTTATTTTAGAGACAAGGTATTTGGACTGGTCTTGAACCCCTGGGCTCAAGCAGTCCTCTCACCTCTACCTCCCAAAGTGTTGAGATTACAGGTGTGAGCCACCACACCCAGTTTCATTCTGTTGTTATTAATGTAAGTCACGTGGGTAAATTTCAGGAAAGTTTAATCTCTGGGCCATTACATTTAAAGATTTTGATGCATGCCTCATCTTTTATGAACATATCAAACATCCTAGTTCTCTTTTTTTTTTTTTGAGTTGGAGTCTCACTCTGTCACCCAGGCTGGAGGGCAGTGGCCACTCCCGGCCACCGCAGCCTTGACCTGCTGGGCTCCGGGATCCTTCCGCTTCAGCCTTCCGAGTAGCTGGAGCTACAGGCATGCGCCACCACGCCTGGCTAATTTTTTATTTTATTTTATTGTAGAGATGAGGTCTCGCTGCCCAGGCGGGTCTCGAACCCGCGGGCTCAGGCAATCCACTTACCTTAGCCTCCCAAAGGCGCGGGATGACAGGCTGAGCCACCGAGCCCAGCTCATCCTAGTTCTCAGTTCCCCTTATGCTTGTAATTCATATATGATAACTGAATTAAGGAAAATTGGCTTGTGTTAGCTAGGTTGAAATGCTTGTCAAGGAGACTCCAACTCAAAAAAAAAATGTTTTCTAATCTTTGTATTCACTACCTTTGAGTTTGTCAGTTTTAAAACTGGTTTTAGTTGTTTTTCTTTTTTCCCTCCCCCGCCTCCTTTTTCATGGTGATTCTGCGGGAGGAAAACTCTCTGTGTTCCCTAGATTTCCCGGTAATGAGTTGTAGGCCTTCACTTGGAAGCAGTATTAAAAAAAAATAGAATAAGGCTTAGATTCATTTTTCAAGTGAGTTGGTGAGTACCATTGTTTGGTGAAGACCAATGCTTGTATACACGAAAGAGTTTTTCTCAACTCTCTCTTTAATGTCTTTCAAATGGCCCAACCCAGGGTGAATGAAAATCAGGGGGTGTGATATTTTCGAGCAAACATGTTCAAGGTAAGCCTTTTAAAACTCTTGGCTGGACAAGCCTTTGAACTCCTTTCCAAGCTTCTTCATCAGGGAGACATAGGGGCTCTAAAACCGCATGGTTTTTGCAGTAAAAAGAAAATACTGAATGGATTTCGACACCTCCTGGATTCAGAGTGCACCTGTGTTGATAGCCACCAGTCGTACCTCACACCACCGTAGCCACCGAAACCCTGCTGTTTTTTAAATTGTGAAATGTCCATGACATCAAATGGACTGCTTAGACATTTCTAGGTGTGCACAGCCATGGTCACGCCCCATTTCCAGCACTTTTTAGGGGATCATCATCCTAAACAGAAACCCTGTGCCTGTAATAACTTCCCCTCCCCCTAGTCCCTCATAATTTCTATTCTAATTTTTGTCTCCATGAATTTTCCTAGTCTACATACTTTATGTAAGTTGGATCATATACTAGATAGCTATTTTTTGTGTGTCTGGCTTATCACTTATCACTTAGTATAATGTTTTTAAAGTTCATTTCTGTTGTAGTGTGGATCCTTTTTTTTGAGTTAGAGTCTCACTCCAATCCTAGTTTTATTCCTGTTCAAGGCTGAAGAATATCTCCTTGTGCGTATACACAGCATTTTGTATATACCTCTTTTGATGGACATCAGGTTGTTTCCAGCTGTTGGCTACCGTGAGTAACGCTGCCGTGGACTCAGGTGTGCGTGACTCATTGAATCCCTGCCTTCGGTTCTTTGGGCAGGCACCTGGAGGCGGGGCCGTTGGGTCCTGTGTACTGCTGGTTGTCACTCTGAGAACCTCCACTCTGGCTTTCCGCAGTGGCTGCACCATTCAGCAGTCACACTCAGCACACGAGGATTCCAGTTTCTCTGCATACTAGCCAACACTTGCTATTTCTGGTTTTGGTTTCTGTTTTTAAGAGATGGGGTCTTGGTAGGTTGCCCAGGCTAGGCTTGGGACTCCTGGGTTCAAGCGACCCCTTCTCCCCCAGGGACCCAAGTAATTAGAACTACAGTTGGGCACCATATTTTATGGCTTTTGATAATAGGTATGCTAATGGATGTGAAGTGATATCTCAGTGTGTGTGTGTGTGTGTGTGTGTGTGTGTGTGTGTATTGTGGTTTTGATGTGCATGACTAATTATATTGAACATCTTTTTGTGTGCTTATTGGCCTTTTCTTTCTTTCTTTTTTTTTTAGCTATTTTTTCTAGATCTTTGCCAGTTTCTGATTTTTTTGTTTGTTTGTAACTGAGTTGTAGGCGTTCGTAGTGTATTCTGGGTATTAGTCTCTTATTAATCTCTTATCTATCTCTCTTATACATGGTTTGCATGTATCTTCTCCAGTTATGTGTTGCCTTTTCATTTTCTTGATAGTGTCTTTTGGTGTAGAGTTTTACTTTTGGGTGAACCCCAGCTGACTTTTTTGGCTTGTTTGTTGTTACCCGTGCTTTCTGCTGCTCGCTCTGTGTAATTGAATCTGGGGATTGGCCGTGCTGTTTACTTTAGGTCATCTCCAGCTCTTGGCTTTTGCACTGGCTCTTGTCAAAACACACGCTCCCTTTTTTGTGTTTGTGTGATGAGCCTCTTTTGCATGATGTCATCCAGAAGACATAGGGAGAGATGATGAGAGATTTATCGTGTTCATTCTGACAGGGCATTATTATTAGTAGGAGGGAAATGATTAACATTTCATGTATGTATGTATGTCTTTAGAGTCAGAGTCTCACTCTGTCACCCAGGCCAGAGTGCAGTGGCACGCTCATAGGCACCACAGCCTCAATCTGCTGGACTCAGGTGATCCTTCTGCCTCAGCCTTCCAAGTAGCTGGAACCACAGGCATGCCCACCTTGCCTGGCTGGTTTTTTTGATTTATTATAGAGATGAAGTCTTGCCATGTTGCTGTGCTTGGTCTCAAACCCCAGAGCTGAGGCAGTCCTCTTGCCTCTGCCTCCCAGAGTGCTATGATTACAGGCGTGAGCCTCTGCCCCCAGCCATCATTTACATTTTATATGGGGATGATGATGTATATTTTAAATCCAGTTTTGTTGTTGTTGCTGGGGTCTTTCTCTGTTGCCCACACTGGAGTGCAATGGCGTGATCACAGCTCATCACAGCCTCGAGCTCCTGGGCTCAGGCGATCCTTCTGCCTCAGCCTCCTGAGTAGCTGGGACTGCAGTTGTGCGTCACCACTCCCGGGTAAATTTTTTTTTTTTTTTTT